GGAATGCCAAGCGTATTTCTTCTCTCCGAGCCAGGTCCTCCTTGGTCGTCAACCCTGGCTCCAGCTTCCCACAAGGAACCCATTGCTCTGCTGCCTGATGACTCTTCAGGCCTCTGCAGTTGGGGGGGCTCTTCCTCATGCTTTACAAAGGCAGTTTGCCAAAAATCTGTCTTGCAGGTGCATGGTCTCTTCCTCTGCCCTCTCCCTTCAATCCTGGTGTCTGGGCTTTTTCAGTTGGATCTCTTTTCCCTGTCCTTCATTATGTGCCTTTCACATCTGTACCCTGTAGGTGCTGGGGTTGTCTGTTGGATTCAAAATAAATAGTGAGCAGAAGACAATCTGGGTCTTCTTGCTATGGTGCTGAAGCCTCATTTGGATGACACAATGGCTATTCCTAAGCAAGAACTGGCTGAGGACGTAAGAGTTGATCTGAAAGCACCATGAAAACCAGCCTACCCTTACAGAGTTCAGGAGACCAGGGCAGAATATAAAAAAAGCCAGGCAGCAGAACAACATAGTAGCAGCCTTTATTTCCTGCTGAATTTTTATGGAAATACACAGTTGAGGAGACAGTGGGGAGGGTCAGGTAGATCTGCTTGAATCTGATGATGGAGAAAAGATCCTGAAAGGAAAGAATGAAGAAGGCCATTTCGTTTAGATGATATCTGTCCCCCCCTCCTCCCAAACATTTGAATTTGGTATTAATTTAATAAAGAAAGAAACTGAAGTCCAGAGAATTCTTTCCAGTTGCTGCATTGCCTAAAACCTGTATTAGTGTTTTGTGTCCACTGATTTCACAAATTATAATTCTACCACCTTCTGAATATAATTGCGATGTTTTGGACTTAACCTCAGAAAGCCCCTTCCTTTTTCTCTGATCGGAATTTTTACAGATGCATCCACTCTTAGACATCTGTACCCTTTTGGCCAAGAGCAACTGCGAGATGCGGGTTGGGGGAGAGCTTTTTTTTGGCTGACCTAAGAGATTTTCCTGAGAATGTGTGCAGGAAGAGGTGGCCAGGTAATTGCTAAAAACCCGGCAGGCGAAGGGCAGCTGTCTCTAGGAGCGTGCCAGCCCACACATTACATCACAGCTGTCGATGCCTGTCTGTTGGAGTCTCTAATCCATAAGATAAAAGCCAGGCTGTTGGAAACCTTCCATGGGACTTTTGCTACTGAGGCCCTCCTTACTCTGCGTGGAAACCAAGAGGTTTGCCAATAGGCCAGTCCGAGCCCAAATCCAATACTCTCTGAGATGACTTCATACACTATCAGGGATGCTCTTATAGAGCAGTTAATAATATCAGTCTTAGCGACAGACCAGGGTTTGGATCTTAGTTCAGGAGTTTCCTATCTGTCTGACTTCCAACAAGCACTTAACCTGTCTGAGCCTCAGTGATCCCATCTCCAAAATGGGCTAATCATATCTACTGCATAGGGTCATTGTTAGGGCACCGTGCATTGCACAACTCCAGGTGGTGCCATTCTCATGGGCCGTAATGGAAATGACAACACCAGGAGCTGTGTAAAATAGCAATGCTGGCTAGTGTTAAGTATTAGGTATAATACTACATATAAAGAATTTAGCATAGTGTCTGCTATCATGTTTATGAATTAAACCTACTGTTACTCTCTCGGGCAACTGACCATGATTCGTTGTTGTGCGATTTTGACATTTGCTTCTAAGAAACAAAATAATTGGGGGCACAGGAAACACAATCCTCAAAGCCCTGGAGGTAAGAAAGTGTTGTCGTGGTCAGGGAATGGAAAGAATTTCCATATTCTAGAACTCAGAGGCTAGATCCTAAAAGGTCTGAACAGCCTATTGAGGGGATTGGGTTTGTTTTTAGGGCAAGAGGCAACCCATGAAAAGCTTTAAGGGGGGGTAAGAGAGTCAGATCTGTACTTCAGGAAGCTCATTTTGGCTGAAATGTGAAAATGGAAGGATGAGATTTGGCAGGAATTTGAAGGAAAGTGGTTGATTATATCAGTCCTAGAGACAGGCACAGGTTGGAATCTCTGTTCTGTGTTTACTCTCTCTTTTCCCTACTCTCTGGGAGCAAATACTTAACCTTTCTGAGTCTCACAGGTTCCCAAGACATTTGAAGTTGTAAATCTTCCAAAGGGTCACTACAAATTGTTTCTTTCTCTTCTTCTAAATTTGAGATCTCTACTGTATCGTTTTTTATACCTGCCAGGCATCAGGATCATTTATAATTCAGATTTTTTTTTATAAAAGGCAAAAACGGGTCTTCTTGTTTCCTCCCTTACCCCTATACTCTATTCTTCACGGAACCAGCAGAAAGATGTATTTAATAGGAAAATCAGCTGATACCACACTTCTGATCAGAACCTCCCTGTGAGTCCCATCTCTTTCACAATCGAAGCCAGTGCCTTATGGTAGCCTCCATGCCCCTCATAATCCATCCCCAGTGTGTTCCCAGCTCCGGAGCCCTGTTCCCCTGGCGCATGGCCCTCTCATCACACTGGTTCCTCTGTGTTTCCTAGATGATGCAAAGACAAGTCCCGCAGGGTCTTGGCATTTGCTTGGAATTCTCTTCCTGTAGATATCCACGAGGCTTGGTCTCTTACTTCCTTCAGGATTTTGCTCCAATGTCGCCTTATCAGAGAGGCCTTCCTTTACCATCCAGTATAAAATCCTGCATGCCATGTGTGTACACACACACACACACACTCACACACACACTCATGCAGGCAGACGCCCTGTCCTAATTAACACTGTTTCCGCCCCTACCCCTCCAGCACTTTTTAGCATCTGACATTTACATTTATTTGTTTATTTCCTCCCTGATGGAATAGAAGGTCTGCAAGGACAGAGACTTTGTGTTTTTTTGTTTTTAATTCTCTGATGAACTCTTAGGACCTAGAAGAGAGCCTAGCAAGTGATTCTAAAACACATAGTTAGGCGGCACTCATAAATATTTATGGAATAAATGGCTGCATGGTGGATTTAGAGCTAGACCTTCCGCTACTCTTGTAGGTTGCTTCACTGTCGCCTTGTTTTAGGTGGTGATCCCACCCAAGCCCTGTAGTGACTGAATAAGTAGACTCACTGACCATGAATCTTGCATATTTTGGAAATACGCCTTTTCTATTTTTCAGCCTTTTATGCAGAATGTAATTGTGCCATCACAACCCTCTGCTGTGTGTTCATCTGGGAAAAATGTCAGAGCTTATCTGCCCATAGTGATGAGCTAAAAGGGGCTTTAGGCAAATGGTGGGCTCTTTGAGGGTCTGCCAGAATGTGCTGGGCCAGGGGTTTCTTCCTGGGCCCTGGTGAATTTCCACTGCATGCCATGAGCAGCAAACGTAGGTGAGTGTGTGGGTGGCTCTCAGACCACCCCAGGCTATGGAAGGCTCCAGTCTAGCTCCACTGTGAACTTTTTATCAGGCCACAAGGCTATGTTCTGACTTAGGACCCCCTTCTTGCCACCACTTTATCTGATGTCCGAACTGGCCTTCCAGGCCATAGTTACCCTGACTTGGAGCAGACCCTCCTCTCTGTCAGCACCTTTCAAGCCTTAGAGGCAGAAGTGATGTATGGGCGGGGTGGCGTTTTGCCTGAGCTGGTGGGTGAATTCAGACCATGGTTTTTCAGTCCGCCACTTGGCTTTGTTTACCAAGTTTTGTGCGGCTCAGTGACTCTGTTGCTCTATCTCTAATTGCCTCCAGCCCTTCATCATATGTATACTTTGTGGTCACTCCTGTTCTGCCACATGAGCTAATTTAGATGGAATTATTGCTCCTGTATTTTTTGGTCACTTGAACCCTCTGTAGAACTAATATGTGTTTTAGAATGACCATGGAAAGGATGACATCAACACTGAGAAGGAACATTTTATGGCTGGTAAAGCTGATTTCACAGCCTGCCAGACAGGAGTCTTAACACACAACTAAACCCAGGCCTGGTTATCTCCCTTTCCTCCTGTGGACAGCCTGCAGATTCTAAAGAGAGATCTGTCCCCAGATGTGAGGAGCTGTGCTTCAAGATCCAGATGCCCAGCTGCTAACGTATCAGGAGCACTGGGCTTGCTGAAAATTAGGAGGAAATGTGCTCTCATCATAATATGCTTTTAGGGGCACCTGGGTGGCTCAGCCGGTTAAGCGGCTGCCTTTGGCTCAGGTCATGATCCCAGGGTCCTGGGATCGAGACCCGCATCTGGCTCCCTGCTCAGCGGGGGAGCCTGCTTCTCCCTCTCCCTCTGCCTGCCTCTCTGCCTACTTGTGCTCTCTCTCTCTCTGTCAAATAAATATATAAAATCTTTAAAAACAAAATATGCTTTTAAAAACTGTACTTTGTGTGCGGAAAGATTACATTACAGAATATTTTTTCCCCTGCAAGTACAACAACTACCATTGACTTTGTAAGAAAGCTTGAAGGTATCTCTGTGTTCCCAAGTAAGTTTGGAGCAATAGGACATGATTTCAACAAATGAGGTATAAGGTCTGCTCCAGAATTTAAGATCATCAAGAGGCCTTGTGCTGGTTAAGTTTTTAGAGTCTGAACTTTAAAGCATCAATCTTAATAAGGTGATTTTGGTAATGAAACAGTTTCTGGAAGGTGATTGTACTAAACAAAATTTAAAAGAAAATCTGCATTAGCAACAAGGAGAAAATTATTTAATGCATCAAAAGGTTCCCCCCCCCTTATTGGCTCTTAGCATGCGTAACTATGTATTCAATAAGGCAAGGCTATAATTGAACTTTTCATTTCCAGTAAGTCAATTGTGTACATTGCTCAGTGAATGGAGACTACAGGTAGAAAATCCACACGCGGAGAGATTGAGTTATAAATTGTACAAAGGATTGCTTAATCACTGAAGGATACTTAGAATAATGATTCACTATAGGTGTTATGGTAGTCAAATATAAACAAATCATTGGTAAAAGCAATAAAAATCAGTAACTGTCATGTTTTGGATCTGGCTCTGATGATGTGATTTTTTTCCCCCACCCTCCCTCCATCTTATTTTTACCAGTAGGTTGGGACACTTGGAAGTCTACCATTGTACAACATGCTGCCGTTAAGACTCTCACCTACCTTTTCGATGGGATGTCATCTGTTAGCCATTGTGGCTCTCTTATTTTCCCATGTGGACCTTGTAAGTGCTGAGACAGAAATAGAAGGAGAAGGCAATGAAACCGGCGAGTGTACTGGCTCATATTACTGTAAGAAAGGGGTGATTTTACCCATTTGGGAGCCCCAAGACCCTTCCTTTGGAGACAAAATTGCTAGAGCTACTGTGTATTTTGTGGCCATGGTCTACATGTTTCTTGGAGTCTCTATCATTGCCGACCGGTTCATGTCCTCTATAGAAGTCATCACATCTCAAGAAAAAGAAATAACCATAAAGAAACCCAATGGAGAGACCACCAAGACCACTGTGAGGATCTGGAATGAGACCGTTTCCAACCTGACCTTGATGGCCCTGGGATCTTCTGCTCCAGAGATTCTCCTTTCAGTAATTGAAGTGTGTGGCCATAACTTCACTGCAGGAGACTTGGGTCCTAGCACCATCGTGGGAAGTGCTGCGTTCAATATGTTCATCATTATCGCGCTTTGTGTTTATGTGGTCCCAGATGGAGAGACAAGGAAGATTAAGCATTTGCGTGTGTTCTTTGTGACAGCAGCCTGGAGCATCTTTGCCTATACCTGGCTTTACATTATTTTGTCTGTCATCTCTCCTGGGGTTGTGGAGGTCTGGGAAGGTTTGCTTACCTTCTTCTTCTTTCCCATCTGTGTCGTGTTCGCCTGGGTAGCAGATAGGAGGCTTCTGTTTTACAAGTATGTCTACAAGAGGTATCGGGCTGGCAAGCAGAGGGGAATGATTATCGAGCATGAAGGAGATAGACCATCTTCCAAGACCGAAATTGAAATGGATGGGAAAGTGATCAATTCCCATGTTGACAATTTCTTAGATGGCGCTCTGGTTCTGGAGGTCGATGAGAGAGACCAAGATGATGAAGAGGCTAGGCGAGAAATGGCTCGGATTCTGAAGGAGCTCAAGCAGAAGCATCCAGAGAAAGAAATCGAGCAATTAATAGAACTAGCTAACTACCAAGTCCTAAGTCAGCAGCAAAAAAGTCGAGCATTTTACCGCATCCAAGCTACTCGCCTGATGACTGGAGCTGGCAACATTTTAAAGAGGCATGCAGCTGACCAGGCGAGGAAGGCTGTCAGCATGCATGAGGTCAACACTGAAGTGGCTGAAAATGACCCTGTGAGTAAGATCTTCTTTGAACAAGGGACCTATCAGTGTCTGGAGAACTGTGGTACCGTCGCCCTGACCATTATCCGCAGAGGTGGTGATTTGACTAACACTGTGTTTGTTGACTTCAGAACAGAGGATGGCACGGCCAATGCTGGGTCTGATTATGAATTTACCGAAGGAACTGTGGTCTTCAAGCCTGGTGAGACCCAGAAGGAAATCAGAGTTGGCATCATTGATGACGATATCTTTGAGGAGGATGAAAATTTCCTAGTGCATTTGAGCAATGTTAAAGTATCTTCGGAAGCCTCAGAAGATGGCATCCTGGAAGCCAATCATGTTTCTACACTCGCTTGCCTCGGATCTCCTTCCACCGCCACTGTGACCATTTTTGATGACGACCACGCAGGCATCTTTACCTTTGAGGAGCCCGTGACTCACGTGAGTGAGAGCATTGGCATTATGGAGGTGAAGGTACTGAGAACATCTGGAGCTCGAGGAAATGTTATCGTTCCCTATAAAACCATCGAAGGGACTGCCAGAGGTGGAGGGGAGGACTTTGAGGACACTTGTGGAGAGCTCGAATTCCAGAACGATGAAATTGTGTAAGTTCTTTTTTTATATATACGTGTGGGGTCGAGTGCCTTGGTGGATGGGAGAGTGGGTGCGATTTTTTTTTTTAAACTAAATGGTACACAAAGAATGGAATATTTGCTATACAAGACCGCTTTAAAACTATCCCTGCTGTGCCACACTTATCAATATGCTCCATACAGAGATCTTAATTTGGTTTTATTTTTCACTTCTGTGCTTTTGCGTATTTTAAGTACATTATAGCAATTATGATAAAATGAGTTCTGTGACACAATTTATCAAACCACTTATGATGGGTTGGAAAATTTGTATTCTATTTTGAATCACATAATATACACACAGAAAGGGAATATTTATTTATTTATTTATTTATTGAAAGCGAACATTTAGAACATCACATTAGATCCCCAACTTTATGACTGAGTACAAATTGGGAAAGCTCAAAAAGGAAACACCTTTGAAAAGAATTTCCTGGTTACCAAGGCTGGCCTGGAACATTTTTTTGCTGCTTTTATCTGATGCTGTGTTTTTGTGACAATCTAAGATAATGTTTCTGCTTACATGTTAATGCTTAATTATGACTTGATGACCAGTCCTGCTGTTTTTAGTCTTATGCCAACGTGGGAAAAGTCATATAGTTGTTATGGAGATCCAGTCTATTTTTATCTTCCGTGGTTAAGTAAACCCTTTTACCCTACTGATACAGTAACGGGGAGAGAATAAGATTCTGTCCAAGCATCCTAGTTGACAGGGAACAGGTCAAAGAAAAGAACTGGGAACAGTTTACTCTTCCTATTGGCACTTTACAGTGACACTTGCCAATGTTGTAACACCAAGTGCCTGGTTGTGTGATGATTCTGCCATGACAGCTGCTATTCAGAGCTATTCCTTCTTCCTTGCCTGGGAGGGGGCATTACACTCACCAAATGCAAACCAGAAAGCTGACTCAATAAGCAGTGTCCAAACTGGAAGGAGGGAAGGAGGGAGAAGAGGAAGGAAGGAAGGAAGGAAGGAAGGAAGGAAGGAAGGAAGGAAGGAAGGAAATTATTTATGATATCTGTAGTACAGCAAAGGACATTCAAATGAATGATTATGTTGGTCGAATCTTTGGCAACTTAAAAATTTCCAGGAAAGAAAAAAATACATATAACACAGTTTGTTCTAAAAATGGTTAACTCTTGAGTAAATGTTATGTGATATGTCAAATGCCAAGTACATTCTCTCCAAAATGAAATTTCTCCGGCTGAACATGGAGGGTGGAGCGAGCCGGGGAGGAAATGGGCAGAGGGAAGAGATTTTCCTGCAGAGACCTTCCTCTTTACCTCTCTTTGATGTTGTATTATAGAGATGAACAATTACTGAGTGTGATATCATGATGAAATCAAGCAAAGCAGAGATTATAATATCTACCTTTAGATGTGTGGAGGGTAACTTTGGATGAATATCTATTTTATGTTGGTTCTTATATTGTTAATATTCCACGTGTTGAAGTGTGTTTTGTTGGACATGTATTTTACTGAAAGATAATAATATAAAAGCAAATGAATATCCTGCATACTTAAGGAAGGATTTTCCCAGAGGACTTGCATTGAATGGGATCCTGCCCATGTTAGCTCATAAACTTTATTCCTTTGTTAGGAATTCTTTCTCATTATATTTTCTAATCCTTTCAGTTATTGAACCCTGTTGTATTAGATAGCACTTATAATCCATGTAAAAGTATATTGCATGTTACTAAAGGAGTACTGAATATTATTAAATGAACTCACAAGGGTAGCACTTAAATATGACCAAATGGGTGTTTTGTCTTGTTTGTGTATTCATTTTACTTAGGATGTTTTCTCCTGAAAATTTGGTCTTGCTTTTTGTTAAGAATAATGGCTCTGTACTTGTTTATTTGAGAGGCAGTCTTTCCTTATCTATTCTGCTGTCCAGGACATTACCAAACTGTAAATAAATAACCTTTTTTTGGATACAGTGTAGAAGAGGAAGAAGAAGGAAAAAAAAAGACTGACAGTGATTTGATGGAATAATTTATTCTGCCAAGCTCCATTTAAAACATTCACCCTATGCCATTAAATTGATTTAATTCTTGCTAAGGAAGGAATATTGCCAAATTCCAGCTTCAGAAATTTAAATATCTTGTGAAGATTGGTAAGAATGGGTAGAATTATTGGCATGCCATCTGTGTGTATGTGTGTGTTCTTAGGAGTATCCTAGATCAATCACTAGTTCCTAGTTTAATAAAACTCTTACTATATTTTATTCACTAAGTTAAAATATGAAATTTTAGAGATGTCATTTTATTTATCAGTGGAATAAAATTATAGCCCTCCATTTTTTTCTTTTTTCTAGAATTTTAATTTTAAAGTCTTCATCCTGACCTTATAGAGTGCTAACAAGCTTTGTAGATGCTTACTACATCTGTTGCTTAAATAAATTTGTGTAGGTGACTGGGACTTAGCCTTCAGCTAGGCACCGAGGATTACAACATAATGTTTCTAGAAAAACATGATATTATCAAAGGTCCCTTGTTTTTCTTCTTCTTCTCCTCCTCCTTCTTCATGGATCATTCTTCCTCTGGAAGTTGTTTCTAATGCCAGGTCCCCACAGTTAGACCCAAGCGACAGAGTCTGTCATCAGGCAGTGAAGCTGAACCATGTGGACTTCAACCCAGTTTTTCTTGAAAAATGAATTTATGTCTCATCCAATTACATAGTTAATCTTGAGAGGTGACTTTCTTAAAAACCTACAATATATAGAGAGGACTGTTGATGCCACTGAACTTTATTAACTATTAAAATCTTTTTTTTTGTTTAATGTTGTGCACAAAGCCCGAATTTATGATTCTTTCCAGAGGACCATAAAAAGATGCTTGGAAAAGCCTGGATTTAAAGCTTACCTATTTTAAAAAGCCATTAAGGAAGGTAGATATTTCTACCTTGGGTCCAATGTAATCAGGGATGGAGATCAAGAGGCAGTCAGCTTTATTGATTCTTCGGTTTCAAGAACAAGATAGATTCCTAATCTTATTTATTCCTGATCTTATTTTTGTAGAAGTCATTTAAATTTATAATTAACCATATCTTTGCCTATTCATTCACATTTTTATATAAATGAGTTGAATTATTTCAACTTGACCTTTTTTAAGATCAAAATCTGTATCTGAGACAGATACTGATAAGTGGTAAGTGGTGCTTGTCGTCTTAAATAAAGTATATTCTTGGCAAGACATTTTAAAATTATAATGCAAAACACATTAATCGATATAATTAACAATTAGCATGTGCTTTTGTATAAACTCAATCAATGACAAATACTAAGCCCATGCCAGCTAATCTTGACTTTCAACAGGGAATTCTGCCTAATGTTAACAGCTAATAAAAAATAAATGAAGAACATGTTAATTTGATTTGTGGTTTGGTAGGTGATATCCACAAATTTGAAGGGCTACTAATGGTTGTTTTTTAATGATGCTAGTTTAGTGGTAATGATTATTACAAAATGTTGTTTGGTCTTCCAGGGTCTAACATGAGCTTGACTGTTCTGGAAAATAATTAGGTTAATTAACTAATGTAGATACAAATCAAATTCAATTACTTAGTTATAACCCAATAGCAATACTTTTGGAGGAGGACTCAAAAGATCATGAGCATTTACTATTACCTATTTAAAATACAGAGTTGAAAGATGAGGTATGCAGGTTGGAAAATGCATGGAATATATCGCTCAGCAAATCAGTTTCCTGGGGGCTCCTAGCTACAACATAATTTATTAATAAATGGATCTGTCCAAAATTAATTTTGCTTCCACAACTATTATGTTTTCAGGTATGATTGTGACTTCATTAATTTTAGGAAATATGATATGCAAGACATCCCAACAAATATAGTTGTTTGACACTAAATATTTATATTGCTTTTTCTGGAGAAAGAAAGAGAAAAGAAATAAAATTTCAGTATTGTATAGGTTCTATGGAATTATTATTATTATACTCCAGGGAAAATAAATACTTTGTTTTTGCTACTTATATTACCAGTATTCTGTTCTTGCTGTATAGGATTCAAGGGAGCAAAGACCTAGCTTTATGAGAGAGCAATTCAGTTTGGAGAGTAGGACAAATGTGTAATACAAGAAAGCAGCCAACTGTAAAAAAAAAAAAAAGAAAGAAAAAGAAGAAAAAGAGATGAAACAAAAATAGTAAGAAAACTTGAAGTGGTCAGAACAGAAGAATAATTTTGTGTCTTTGGGGGAATCAGAAACGATGAAAAGTACTACAGAAAATAATGTTAGATAAGAAAGGCCATTAGTACATATATGAATCCAACATACTCAAGATTTACTTTATGGAAGAAGAATTTTATTTGCTACATTTAACCTATTAAAATGATGGAACCATGATTTTATATTGACATAAAACTTTCTTAGGTAATAAGCTAATGTAAGAAATTTAGATGAAATGATTTTAGGATTTTAATGGTTTTCTGCTTTGGTGGATTATCTTTTCAGACTGGAATATTGCTCTCTTAGATCCAAATCACATGTAGTATCATCTGCAAATCTAAATTATAACTACAAGAAGTGTTTTTATAAATGCATATGTTTTCATGAGTGCAGAACTGTTACAAACATAAGACAGGGTAAGAGCCAAAAAATATTTTGACTTCCCATTCAGTATTGCCAGGAGCCTAAATTGATTATGTGCAGCAGGGTTGTTTACTATGTCAACCAAATTGCCATGTTTACTGTTGTAATCTCATTTTCCCACTGCTAATTAGAGTTTAGGGTTATAATATAGTTAGGTAAAGAAGTTTTATCTTAGCAAATGAGGAGATATCATAGTTCAGACACACTGAAGTGTTTAAATTATGGATTCTTTTCTGTATCATCATTCAAGGCCATTCCATAGGGGGATGATTACTTCACTTGGTTAAGGCTAGAAAAGAATTTATATATCAATCACTCTGCACATGCTTAATAAGCTAACTGATTTGTGCCCAGTACTGGGCCA